TTTGCTTTGCCTATTAGCTCCTAAGGTTTCCCAGTGGCAAAGCATTATTTTGAGAGCAGCCAGTATGGTGCCCCTCAGATGTTGTTGGGCTCCAACTCCCACCATACCCCAGAAAGTCAGGTTTGATGAGAGTTGTAGTCCACAATATTTGAGAAGCACCATGTTGCCCAACATGGGATTTTGCCATTGGCTGTACGTAGGAGTTGGCACTCCCAGGAATGGGAATGGGAAAGAGCTCTTTTGTCTTGGCCTACATTTTTTGATGTTTCTGGAGAGATGGTGAGGGCCACTCTGCAGCAACTCCCAGACCGCTCAGAAATGTCTTATGATACACCCAAGTGCTCCGAGAACAAAAGAAACGGCAGATTGTCATGTTTTTGTTACTGTGCTGCTGGCCTATACAGGGGGAAACAGCTTTGAATTCAGATTTGGAGCTTTTCAGAATTGGTGGCAAAAATAATAAGGCATGTGGGTGACTCCAGTTCCATTCAAGATCTCATAAATCACTTGAGGGAAAGGTTAGAGAGAGAAAAGGCTTGTGTGCTCATATGCCAAACACAACCACTTAGAATTATTCAGAGTTCTTTCATTAATAGAATGTTGTTTACATTGAGATGTTTTTCTTGTACGAAAGTCAAAAGCAATGAAATTAAAATAGGACAGCACATGTTAAATAAGGTGACGTTAATGGTGGACTTGCAGCCCTTTGTTGCTATTTAAAAAGAAAGCCAGACATGAATTTTTAAGAATAAAAAATGACATGTCAGGGAAATAACATGGTGAACAAAGCACACGAGTATGGCAATCCTTTATTCCCAATGGGTGTTAAGATATTGTTGATAATGAACTTTGTATAGCTAACAGCTTTACCTCTACCAGGAAGTTGAACCTTATTCGTTTTAAAAGCCATGACAGGGTATATGATTGCTCATTATTGCATCCCTGATAGAATGCTAAATAATTCAAAGAAAATTTGTGGTGGCAATTCCTTTTTAAAAAAAAAGGAAAGAAAAAGACATCAAATGTAGAAATAGTCCGTGTATGATTTTCTTGCTCTTACCATCTAAGAACTGGCCTTTAATTACAGCCCTGGGGACGGCATGTCCCTCATTGCACTGAAAAGTATAAGTGGGCTTGGAAGATTCTGCGTAGTCCCATTCCAACTTTAAGAAATGAAGACATAGAGCTATCTTATGCACCAGATATTAAAACGAAGCAGCTGGTGCAAGTCACCTGATTTTGAAGCTAGGAGTAAAAGTAGGACTGCCACCAACTAATGTTCAGGGTCAGCCTAGGCAGCTTTACTTGCCTGCCTGCAGCCTTCACAAATCATGTTGGGATCAGTCAGTTAATTGACTATCACATTTGCATATGAATGAAAACTGTTGTTCTGAACCTTGCATATGCTGGAGGAAGCATCATCCTAGGAAGAGGCATGGTTTACCATGCGAGGGAAAAGGGGATACTAACTTTTCAAATGGTGCTTATCATTACAGTGGGGTTTTTATATCTATATAGAAAGTCTTGTATGTATTAAGGGGGCACTTACAAGACTTTAAAAACCTGCTGTTATAAGCCTTAAATTTCTACAGCATATAAAAATGACACCTGTTGATTGAACCTTAAAACTTCATCTGCCTGATGAGGTCTATAAATGTGCCAAATTTCAAACAAACCCAATTTTACTAGAGCAAGCTGAAAAGTGTTGCAAATTGGCACTATGCCTCTTTTTACTCCCAATTTTTACATAAACATCTCCTATTACTTATTTATTGCATTTGTCCCACATTTTCTCCAATGAGCTCAAGGTGGCAAACATGGTTCTCCTTTTTCTCATTTAATCTCCACAACAACCCTGTGAGGTGGGTAAGACTGAGAGGCTCTGAATGACCCAAGCAACTTCATGACCGAGTGGGGATTTAAACCCTGGTCTCTCAGGTCCTGACATTCTCAGGTCCTGACTCTTTATCCTCCCCACCCCCCCAAAAATGGTTGAAATCTAGTGATGTACTTTATTCAGACTTCTTTAAAGAAGACATACTTTCTGAACAGTTGTTACAGTTTATTTACAGTCGTCATACCCCATGGTTTATCAGTAGTGGCGCCCTCCCTGTGGAATGCCCTCCCATCAAATGTCAAGGAAATAAACAACTATCTGGCTTTTAGAAGACATCTGAAGGCAGCCCTGTTTAGGGAAGTTTTTAATGTTTGATGTTGTATTGTGCTTTTATTTCTGTTGGGAGCCACCCAGAGTGGCTGGGGAAACCCAGCCAGCAGATTGGTGGAGTATTATTATTATTATTATTATTATTATTATTATTTATTTATTATTTAATGTGACATCCAATCTATTGCAGATTAAACACGCTGGTTGTTTTCCCCCCTCTGGCTGGTAATATATCCAAAGTCATGGACTGTGCCCCCATGGTAGATGAATGATCAAAGCTGTTGAGCTTCCGATCATCACATCGATCACTTTATTTTGAAGAAAATCTTTGGGATCAATTACTGTTTTTAGATACATTTGCATATATGATAAAATGTTGTGCCCAGGCTGTGATGGGATTAGCTGAGATTTTTTCCTAGTGGGTGAGTCAGCAGGTCCCTCCTGTCATGAAATGTGCTTTGCCATAATTGCAATTGAGCACCAGTCTGCTTTTCACACCCCTAATCTGTGTGCTGCATGCTTGTTAACCATGGCTAAAAGGCATGAAGTCACACAGTCAACTTTTTAAAACGTTTAGAATTCCAGCTCGCAAATATTGCCTCTCTCCCAGAAATGGAGTCAAATCCAGCCCTAATGTTTGTTATTCATTCTGCCTCCCATCCACGGGGATGCAGCATTTGTGAAAGAATCAATTATCCATTTGTTAGTCAGAGGAGCTTTACAAATTATACATTAGCAGATTGATTTCTCAGGTTCACCGTTGAGGGACTGACACTATGAGGTGGGATGATGATGAGCATCTAGGGAAAAGGAAGTTGCCACACAGTTAAAAGAGGCTCTTTGAATGGCCATGAATTTATTCCTAATTGAAGAGCTGACATAATCCATACTAAGTGTATTTATTTCAAGCATTTTACATTAGGTAATTGATTATCACACAGGCTGTATTTTGCAAGTGGAAGCTTTTCTTCAAATTTAGGGTTTTGTAGAAAGCTTTTCTTATCAGATACTTACTGGCCTCCTCCCCTGCCAAACGCACAGACCATTTCTCCTGAACTTTCCCCCTCCTATTAAAGTTACATTTTTGTTCTAATAGTGTCAGCCTGACGATATTGATTTCTTTTGAACAGTCAAACTTATATTGTCCAGAATCCCAAACAGGTCTCCCTCAGAAATAAAACTGCAGCTAATGGGAACTCAGTGAGGGACGTTTATTCCTCACTGACACAACTTTCCAGACTTTCTTCATGAAAACCTGATTTTTGTCCTCAAGTTAATCATCTAACTCCTAAAGTTCTTTAGAGAGGGAACTTACTCAGCTAATTTCCAGTCTTATTCTTCATTGCTTTTATACTTTGTCCTTGCTATAATGTAATATTCACATTGCTGCAGCGCAAAATCTGAATCCTCTGAACACTACTGTGAGTAATCTCACTTTGGGACCTGCCTCCTCATGTAAGTGGGAGCTGCTTTGGCTAGAGTGAGGTTCAGCCATCCACAAATCTGCTCATGTGAGCAGTTGTAATGGAGCCACAAACTGGCAAGATTTCCCCAACCATTTTCTGAATTCAAATGAGCACCTGATTAATTGTTAGACCTGACTCACTGCGATGCAATGATGGCGGTAATTGCTGTTCACTTGCCAGGAACAGCTAGACATCTCTGCAGGGCAGCAAGGTGTAATGGGAGAGTCATAACCCTTCGCAGCTCTTCAGTGTAGTGATGGCTGCCACCAGCAGAAAATATTCCATATTATCAATCTCCCTTGGAACTTAGGCTATAGTCTGTGACATATTAGCACCATAAAGACTTTGGGCAGGCTTGCAAATAACTACTCTTCTGGTCACCAGCTTTTTGTGACTAGGCATAGCAGGCTTATGGAAGTCTGTTCTTCCCACTCCAGTTTATGTCACAGATTAGTAACCCGTTTGATGAGTAGACCTGTTTGCACACCTGACTTTTGGGACACCGCTCTCCTTGCTTTCTTGGGCTGTTTGAAAATTGGCATTCCATGGAATCCTTAGAAGCATATCAAGGGTTACTTCTGTGAGAAAACAAGAAATGGCAGACAAACTTGCCCACTACTGCCAATTTTCTATTGTAACGTGCAGTGCCAAAGGCATTCTAGGTGAAATAATAATAATAATAATAATAATAATAATAATAATAATAATAATAATTGATGTGTTTGCCACGGTTGGCTCCATCAGGAGAAACAGTTGGATATAAATTGACTTGAGTAGATCATCTATTATAATATGCCCCAGAATTCTTTGTAATGTGCAGTGGACAAATGAATAGGAATGATGTACCCCAAACTACTGAGATTGTTTCGCGATATTTAGCAAAGATTTTAAAAGTCAAATTTAAAACTACTTAATTTTACTTAATGGTGGTTACCGAGGCTTTTATATGTTTTATGTGTTTGAAATATGTCTGGATTAACAATGTTTTATGGATTCCCCCCCTCTCTCTTTTATGATTTTATTGTCTAAATTATGCCAATAGGGAAAACATTCTGGGAGGATAGTAAGTCTGAACACTACTGCCAAACAGCAGCAATACTAGTTATCTGTTGCAGCCTGCCCAGGAGCTGCACACACACACCTTGTTCTTCCTTTTGTTAGCAGTCCCAGGCAGGCAGCAAAACCAGGTTTTGCTTCTGATGAGCCACTACATATGACTAGTGAGCAGCATTTAATTTGGTGGGTTGTTGGTACTGCACACCTGGTTTTTGTATTGGGTGGGAGATGGAAGCAACTTGCTTCTTCTGCATTGTGCATTCTAAAATGTTCTCTCTCTCTCTCTCTCTCTCCCCCCAAACTTTTAACAGAGTCCAGTTAAGATAAATCAAATTAGCCTGGATGAAAGTGGAGAGCACATGGGTGTTTGCTCTGAAGATGGCAAGGTATGGCTTTTCCACATTTAGCATGAATCAGTGATGTGCCACTTTCCAAGTCCTCAGGAGATCTCTGTACAGCAAAATCCTATAACAACAGCACCTGGATCTTGTGTTTTAGTACCTGACTCACTTACAAAAAACCCCTCATAATTAAAGTCAAATATATTTGGCCCAAATGTGCCTAAGGAAAAGTAATTACAAGAAATGTCAATAATGTTACTGGTATTAAACTGATTAACAGCCGTGGCACAGGGACTTGTCACTGTAATCATTACTACTGTGCCAGTTATACTTCACTGACTAGTCTGATGTTCCTGCAAGACAGTAGCTTAATGCTTCTCTGCTATAAATCCACAAAATTGGATTTTTGTGGGCAAGATTTCTTTGGGCTGGTGGTTTTGGTTCTGGTTGTTTTTTTAAAAAGCACCTTATGATTGTTTCCTCAGAAATCTTTTGATAAGCAGTCATAGTTTATCAGAGGAATATAGTGCCTTGCAGTTGCTCCTTTAAACAAATGTGAAATCAATACACATAATACATGTACAGTTTCCTTAAAAATGTGGCACCTTCTTCCTCGACTGGAGACATACATCATTTTGTGTACCGCACAGCTAACAATTAGCATTGTTTTCCTGGAATGTTAAGAGCTGTGACATTTTAGTGATTTTGATGATCGATTTCCCCACTTATTAGAATGTCTTTGTTCATTTGTTTGCTTTTAAGACCATGGCAGTCTTTGCTAATATTGGTTGTGATATTAAAATTCCAAATCGTAACCTATTCAGGATGCTTTTTCTGGGAATAATGCTGCTAGCAGCCACAGTGTATTAACACCATTTCCCAAGATCCATCTCACTTAACTGGATAGAACACTATTTGTTACTAATCACATTCTTAGGCAGGATTTTTAGGAACAGTAAACTAAAATAAATACTGAAGTATATATATATTTCTTCCCACAGGAGCAAAGAGTAGTAAACTCGTTTAATCTGTGCTTTTAGTGAGCGAATAAATGCCATAAATATGTTTACGGTTCCCAGTGTGTTGTCCTCCGAAGAAATCTTGATGTTACAATAATTGGCACAATAATTGAGATACTATTGCTGGTAAAAGAGGTTGTAGAATTTTATAACCAGTGCGAGAGGCTCTTAAGAGTAATGCAATTGTCTTGGCAAGATAAGACAGAAGCCAATAATTGTGTACAATAATCAAAAGTGATGTGCTTATATATTCAAGAAGTAAAGTTTTGGTGTGATTTGATGTATTTAAATTACAAATATATATATATATATTTTGCAGTTGAGACTGGCTGTGCATTTGCACACTGAAGACTCAACACATGCTTAGAAGGACAGGCAGCATACATTTTAGTTCTCCAAGTTTATTCATTTAGTTTTGGTAGTTATAGCTCACCTTTCCAACCACACTGAGACACTCAAGTTGACTAGCAGCTGTGTATTATTATGAACAATCAGACAAGGAGCTAAGAACAAAAGGTATGAAAGAACACAGCAGATTTAGGAGCCAGCCATACCACAAGCCTGCAGAAATAAAAGCGTTTTGGTGTAGCACCCAAAGGCCATAGCTGAAAGGGTCAGGCTGAACTCAGCAGGAGGTTTCACAGCCTGGACTCCCCTGGAGCCTTGCCTGTTGTGCCTCTCATGGTGGCAGGACATGGAGCAAAATGACCCCAAAGTCCAGAAGACCTGAGTGAACAGGCAGGCACTTGTGGGAGGAGATAATTTGGCACCAAGCTGCTGGCAGTGTTAAAGGTAACGTGCTTGGAAATAAATGGAAAGCCAGTGCAGATGGAATAGCAGTGGAATAATATACTCCACAGGGACCCGGGTGGCGCTGTGGGTTAAACCACAGAGCCTAGGACTTGCCGATCAGAAGGTCGGCGGTTCAAATCCCCGCGACGGGGTGAGCTCCCGTTGCTCAGTCCCTGCTCCTGCCAACCTAGCAGTTCGAAAGCATGTCAAAGTGCAAGTAGATAAATAGGTACCGCTCTGGCGGGAAGGTAAACGGCATTTCCGTGCACTGCTCTGGTTCACCAGAAGCGGCTTAGTAATGCTGGCCACATGACCCGGAAGCTGTATGCCGGCTCCCTCGGCCAGTAAAGCGAGATGAGCGCTGCAACCCCAGAGTCGATCACGACTGGACCTAACGGTCAGGGGTCCCTTTACCTTTTAATATACTCCACAAAATTGCCTATTGTGTAGTTGCAGCATTTTGAACCAACTGAGGTTTCAGAACTTGGATATGATTGTGGCTATTTTTGCACAAAGACCCACGAGTCTTTCTGCGCTGTATTATTGCTGCTATGCATACAGGAACATATGGATGCCTTTTCACATTTTCCAGTTTCCACACTGTTCTAAACCCTTTGGCAGAATGGTAGGGTGTTTGTTTCCCTCCTTTTATTCTTTCAGCCATCCTGTGAAATAGATTAGGCTAAGGGATAGTGATTTGCCCAAGACTGAGCGCCCTTGGATTGAGATGGGATTGCAACTGCCCCACCAATCCTAATTCAACCTTTTATCCTGCTGAATTAGTAACTGGGAAAGCAGGAGGTGTGGCGAAAAGGGGTAGTTTCTTTTACAGCACATTTCTTGCTATGCATTTGGGGGCCTGTCATTCAGATATTCACCACTGTATTATCTCAACATTTAAAAGCTTTGCTTGGCAGTTATTAGGGACAAATATATGATATGATGATATGACTGAAATGTAACTGGGAGTATTCCACAAGGTAAATCTGTTAGCATTTAGTACCCTTGAAGGTGCATTTTAAAACATAATGAAAATATGTATAATGGTAGAAAAGCAGAGCCTCTGAGATAATAGAAGGTTTCCATTTATGTTCTGTTTATTGTAGAAATGGAAATTATTTTCTGTTTTAGTCAGGTGGTTATCAATTCAATAAAAGTGTTTGGCATAAAGCGCGGAGAGTCCTTTGTCCTTCTGGTGGTTCTAGCAGCTTAATTGCGTAGAAGCACTTTCGTGTTTCCATTAAATACTTTAATGGAATCAAGGAAAGCTTTGGATAATTTTAAACTATTACAGTGTGCTGCAAATGTATTTGTTTTTGTTTTGTTTTTTTTTTAAAAAACAAACTATGATGTATTTGCTGTTGCCATTTACACTCACCTTTTGACTTCTGAAGTGGGATAAATCATAGACAATTTAATATGGTTTTAAAAGCATATCCTTTAATTTCAGGTGCAGGTGTTTGGATTGTACACAGGGGAAGAATTCCACGAAACATTTGATTGCCCTATTAAAGTAAGAGCTTAGTTAAGTCTTAACAAATGTACTATTGTTGCATTCAGCAAGTAGCTACGACCATTTCCTTTCTCCAAAAAAAAAAGAAAAAGAACATGAATATATCATAGATTTCATTCAAAAGTTTTGGTATGGACAGCGATGGTGTTCCTTCATGATTCCTCTGCAAAGCAGAGGAATTTGTCCTCTTTGTGCTTGCTTTTTAGGTCCATGGGCACATTTGGAATTTAGAGTGAGTGCTGTGGGTGACATCCTCCTCTGCTCACCTATCCCCAACGCCCCCCAGATCAACCTGCCCCACAGAAAAGTAGAAGGGCAGAGCACAAATGCACACAAATGTGGGTCCAAGGGATGTGGGTCAAACTCAAAACCAATAGAATAATCTGCACCTTGAAAAGGTGCATCAAAGGCATTTTTTCACCCGCAGGCACTATGCTGGTGACTCCTGCTGCAAGGGCTTTCCTGGCCAGTTACTTCTTCTTCCCGCCCCAAAATAATGTGGAATGTTTCAGAAACATGCTCGGTAGACAAGCCAGAGAAAGCAACAATGAGAAGCAGATCACAAGCCAACAATATGTGATAGTTCTGCAAAAGCAAACTAGCTGATGGGTGTAGAATTTGTTTTAAGATAGTATGTGGGGTTATAGTAAGTAGGATCATGGACTCTGTACCGGAATAATTGTAGGGTCTTTTCTGTGGTGGCTACTTGCTCGTGGGGTGTTCTCCCCAGGGTGGCTCGCCTGGCGCCTTCATTACATATCTTTTGGCGCCGGCCAAAAATGTTTTTCTATAACCAGGTCTTCGATTTATTAAACAATCTATGTTAAAATGTGCGTTGGGGAATATTGTTTTCTTTGTATGTTATGATATATATCTTTGTTTTTTTTAGATTGTAAACTGCCCTGTGATCCTTGGATGAAGGGCAGTATAGAAATTTAATGAATTTTAATAATAATAATAATAATAATAATAATAATAATAATAATAATACCTAAATAATTCTACAGCTCATAAAACCACACAAGAACAATATCAATAATAACGCATAGTTTTCCTTCTTTATGTTCAGATTGTCGCTGTTCACCCTCAATTTGTGAGATCACACTGCAAGCAGTTTGTAACTGGAGGGAACAAAGTAAGTTTCTCATTTCATAATACTGTGTCAGTTCTCAACAGGCAAAGTTAAAGTTCCAAAGGAACATGTGCACATATTTCCCTGGGGTTTGTCCCCCAGCCCCAATCAGGTAATTCAGGGGTGCTTTCAAAGGAAAATTATGGGGAGATAAAACACAGGTACCAGCATCTATTTCCCCTCTTGGCAAAACTACTACTGTTTGCCTAACTGCCAAACATAGAAGAGTCGGAAGCAGAGTCGACGCCAGAGGTGGCCTTGCACACTTCTCTGATCTATCCTTTTCTTACTTTTACGGTTTTGCTGTTCCTCATGCTGCTCCCCCATTTCTCTGCCTCTAAGAAAGGGAATGGGATCTGCCTCAGAGCACCACAGTCTGGGAGAGGTGGCATGGAAGGATGTCCACCCTGCTCTGCCAATTTCTGAAGCATTTGACCCAAGCTCATAGTTTGTTTTGCTCCAGACAAACCGGGAACTGCAAAGTTAGTTCCTAGTTTACACGAGCCATGAGCATGGGGTTGGACCTAACACAGAGCCATAGGATGGGTGAGCTCTGATAGCATAGTGACGGCCGGAATGGGAGGAGTTCAGTGGCTGTGAGTCCACACCTTTGTTTATTTGCTCTAAGTCATGGTTTGGATGAGTGTTATGTGTCATTTAACCGGACTGAGACTTCAGTCTTAGTGAACAGGAAACTGGACAAATACTTTGTATTTTCCAAAACCTGAGAATAGCGTGTACTTTTGGAAATGTGTTATTTGAATTGATTTTTAACAGAATTTACATTAAAGAATGCAGGCTTTTTTAGTTTTCCAAAAGCTGGTGTCATTTTCCCATCAAAAGTTCCCAAATTTTAAAAATCCCTCCGAATTAAGGAAGCATAGCCCTAAATATTTAAGGCGATAATAGGGCTGTGATCTATTTTCTCAGAATGAAGCCCCCCAGAATTGACTGAGGCTTGTTTTCTGGAGGTTGTGTTGCTTAGGATGGCATCCCATGATTTATTAAAAAAAACTGAACTTAAAACTTTAATTTGTGCTATAACACTATGAGTGCAAATATATTGAGTGTTGGGCTGCAGAAAATTGTGACCATGATTACTTTTTACTGATCCTTGGCCTTTTAAATGTATAAACGGCATAATGGGTTCAGAGTTCATTGAACAGGGTGTGTGAGATTTAACGCCATAAGAAGATTTTAGAAAAGTCTGATCAGTAACAAGATGTATACAGTTTGCCTGTAATTACGTGATCCGTTATTTCTGGGTTTCACAAATAATGGTTAGTTCACTTATTATAGGAATGTTACACTAAAAAAAAGTACAAGAGTGTGCCTTGTGAAAGCATCGTGAAAGTGTTTTGAGTGTTGCTGATGTGATCGAGAGGGCTTGGACTTGGAACCAAGCAGCCTTTAGCTCTTAGCCTTTGACTCTCAGACCAGTAGGGTTGTTTCTATGATAAAATGAGTTAAGCCTACCTGAGCTTCATGGAAAGAAGGGTGGGACCAAAAAATGACAAATAATTCTCATCCTTGCCAACATTCTACTATTTTGCCGCAAGCTAGTATCCGCTTTCATTGTCTGGTTAGAGCATTCTGTGATGTTTCAGTGATACTCTGCCACACTGTACGCAAAGCACTTTTGAGCACTCGAAAGTGCCAGTCAAATTATTAGTTTTGTTAATGTGTCGGCTGCAGTGTGCAGGTGTGTCTCGCAAATGTTCCCCACACTCCTCCCGGGGCTGGAAAAGGGTTAGTTTAACCTCCGGTTTGCTAGTAAAACTGAATTACTGTGTCACGAAATGATGCACGTCTAAAAAGTGTGTCACCAAGATGAAAAGTTCGGAAAGCTCTGTGTTACAGTATTCAACTGAAACAGGAATATTGTTAATCATCAGATGTTGAACTCAATGCTTGCACTTTGACCAAAACGACTGTTTCCTGATATTGGTTGCTTTTGTGGCACGGAACAATATATGCGCTTGAAAGGCTCTTGAAAGGTGTAGCAGAAACAGTGATCTTCTTTGACCGATGGGTATGTTACTAACTAACAGAACCCTTCTTGCCCATTTCACACTGCAATTAAGTTCAGCAAGTTTTGAATGGAGCACTTGGCAGATGATGACAACCCTGCAATAATAATACATTGTAAATAACAGGGCATCCCCAGCCCAGGAGGACGGTGGAGCTTCGAGGCAAGAAGAAAAGACAAATAGTGCTATTGTAGGCCATAACCTTCTGCCTTTAAAAGAGGGTCTAATCTTAAAAAATAACAGGGTGAAAGCTTGCTAAATGAAGGTGGGAAAGCTGAAATAAAGGTGTTCTTTGGTTAACCCTCAAAGAGCTGCCACATTTTTCAACCTGCGAGCTTAAATGAATCCGGAACTTAGAGAGTGCAAACGCACCAATATTATCTAGAGGTTTAAAAATTCCAAAAGAAAATGAAAGGCTATATAACTTTCCAGATAAACTGTTGATCACTACCCATACTTCTAAATAGTTTAAACTTACGGGGTTAAACCTGGATATAGTGTCATAAAGAAATATTGGTAAAACTTGACAGAAGAAAATGATTAGTGAAGATGATACATCTATGGGTTGTTGCTAGGAAAATGAAATTTTGTTGATGACTTTGCATTGTCATTTTTCAATTAATATACTACTCATTGCCCGTGTTAATTATAATGCTGAAGATAATACATTAATTGGAGAGGTGTTCTGTTGATAATTGGAGTTGGTGTCTCTCATCCCTTCACTGGTTTGGAATCTTTGCTTTTGAAGAACATGCTTGTATTTGCTGCTGATCTTGATCTCTCAAGTTGTGGAGCCTGAAATAAGTAATTGCCAGAGTGTGGTGGTCCTTGGCATTTTCTGACTAAATATTGGAATTTATAAAGGGGCAAGAAAGAGCTGAAGTTCTTTCTGATCCAACTCAACCAGATAGATAGACTCCCCCACAGTGGCTGAAATTCCTGCATTTTTAATGCATCACAAGACTCACATCTATATTTATCGGCCTCTTTGGCCAAAAGAAGTAGAAATCTTGGGTAGCAAGTAAGCTGGGTCAAGACAAAAAATATTCTGACAATTCAGCTGCTGTAATTTCAAGTATAATGATAGAATTTGTATGTTTGCTGTAAAATCTGCCAAGTACTGTCTTGGATTATTTTTTTTTAATTGCCTTGATTTTTAGTGTCAGCAAATCTGGTTTATCTTTGCTTTGTGAGTAAGTAGGTGACCTTTACCTCTGAACTCCACAATATGTGCTTCATAATAACTGGTTGGATCACTCTGACAAATTATTAAATTGTCAGGATGCTGTTTGCAGCACAGTCCATTTTTAGAAACAGGGTAGTCAGCTGTTTGGCGTTGCGTTGGTAGATGAAGAGTACCAGACAAGAAAGGCAGATTGCTTTGTAAGCTGTAAAATGTCAGTCAGTAAATACTGAGAGGTCCCATTTAAGTGGAGTAAGAGTAAATACCAAGGCAATCTCTGTCCAGGTATTGGTCGATTTGCCTTAAACCGTTGTACACCTTTATTGCCTCAGTAGCTTCTAGTTTGAAATTGCTGTCTAAAATGGGTGACCATTAGAATGTTTACATGACTCAATATCCGTGTATATTTACAACACAGAAGCCAGTGGTGCAAAAAAACCCTTGTTGCCCCACCAATATAAAAACTGAGCCTAGCGAGTGGTGCCAAAGCCGAACAGGAAACTGGTATGTCCTCCTTCCATACGCCCTGCTGCGTCTTATACCTCGTTTGCTCCCTCCCTCTTGGTACCTCTGTCTTATAATTTGAACCAGAGACCAGAGCATCTTTCCTTGCCAGGAGCTCTGGACGATATGAAGTATTGTGGGTGGGATAATAGCCATTGAGAATTGGATCCCTCCTCTCAATAGTACACCTGTCTCTCCCTCCAAGCAGGTTCCTAACATTTTTGCAAGAAGAGAATCATGTGATAGCTCAGGGAAGGCTAGAGCAAGGGCGGGGGGTCCTTAATTAACCATAGCTCCCCATTGCATTTGAACTGGAAAACGATGCTTATTGGCTCCCAAGCAAGGCAGGATCTGGAAGCCAGCTCAAACTATGGCTTCCTATCCTGGTTTGCTTGGGAACCATTAACGATAATTTCCTGATTCAGCTGTAACAGGGAGCTGTGCTTCAATGCAGCTCCTGGCTTGTCTCTCCGTTCTCACCAAAAGATGCTCGTAATCTACTTCAGTTTATTTACCGTATTTTTCGCTCTATAGCACGCACCCGACCATAGCACGCACGTAGTTTTTAGAGGAGGAAAATCCATAGGCATGCCACCCGTAGGCATTTCTTCCATAACACACACAGACATTTCCCCTTACTTTCTAGGAGGAAAAAAGTGAGTGTTATGGTGCAAAAAGTACGGTAATAGGGACTTGATAGCTTAAATGCAGCCATTTGGTATGTGCCTATTCGCCACCTTTGAATGAACTGTGCTTTTAAAGCGTTTTCTAAAATGTAACAATTCTGCTAATTTTAGTTCCAAGAGAGGGAAATGATCAATTTAAATTTCTTCCCATTGATGTTGTTTCCAAAATGGAACTTCTAATTTAGATGACTGAAGGATTCCTCTAAGCACTCTGGAGACAGGGATTACATGTAATTAGCACTAGTGTTAATTGTTTGACAAGCTCCATTAGATTGAAACACTACCCGCACTCTGATTCACCGCTGCTCTGTACAAAAGAGACTGTCAGCCTGATCCTCAACATACTGCTGGTGTTCAGCTGTCCAAGTCTCTCTGAGTGTAACTGAAATTTGCTTTGCAATCTCTGCCTTTCAGTGGTCATTCTTGGACTAAGCAGCAGGCAGATCTAAGGGGAAGAGCGTATTCTTAGTGATGAAGCATTAATAAAAGAGGTGACACCACAGTCAGCAAACCTACGTGCCCCCTCTTTTCCATCCCTGAAATGAGAAATACTTTCCCTGTTAATACTGTCCCCTGAAACTTCCTCCTGAGTATGACAGA